CTTTACATATATACCTGCATTCACTCCTTATTATCGATCTCAAAATGCCTTTTTGAAATCTGTACCCTGGTCACATGGAGTTGTGACTTGGCACAGAGGTGAAAGACTGAATTTTTAGTTGGTGTTAAGGAGGTCAGAGTAAATAGTCACCTTTTGCAGCTCTTGGTGATCAGATGCTGTGCTGTAGCCACAGGCTGGTGGTGGAGGGGCCCACATGTGGTGAGGGGGTTTCAGAAAAGCAGAAGTGTGTAAGCTGAGAAAGCTGGGAGTTGCCCAGAACTGATAACACAGTGCATGTGGTAAATGAGAAAGACTTACTGGTATGGCTGAAGGATGGAGTGACTCCACAACAAACAGAAAAGACTAAACCTACATTTTGCAAGGAAGAAAAAGATGTAACTCTCAAATGTCAAGAGGGAACAGAACTCCGTAGGCTGAGTCTGCATTGAACTTCTGCATCCTGCAGTGGGTGTCCTGGTAGAACCATCACTCACACTCCCTTTTTTGTGGTGTGGTTTTTTTTGAACTAGACAATATGAACAAAAGAGATCTTTTGAGAGTGTAATTCAATCATGTGGTTTAATTTTTGCTGGTATGAATAACTACATTGGGTTTGTTGGCTTGAAGCTGTGTAGATTGAGACTTTTCCAGGATAGATGAGGTACTCAATCATCAGTCATTTGTGGAAGTACAGGCCCAGAGTTGTGTAGATTGGTGAGACTTTTCCAGGATAGATGAGGTACTCCATCATCAGTCATTTGTGGAAGTACAGGCCCAGAGCTGTGAAGGGCTAAAAGGCAGTCAGGCTGAAGCAATGATTTTTTTATTTTTTTTTTTTTAAATTCCAATACTGAAACTGGGACAACGTTGTGTTTGGATGCTCTTGCAGGAAGAATCAGCGATGATTATGCTAACTTATAGTAGAAAAGAAGGAAAAAATGGGTATTGCCACCCTAAAATAAGTTTGATAAGTCAGAGACTTGTTAGATAAGGGAGTCAGCAGAAATCCATAGCTTCCTCATGGAATTACTAGTGAGCTTGAATTTGAGGAGGGAATTCCCTGCAGAAAGATGCACAAAACTAGGCTTTGACTTGTACTGGGATATAATGATCTAACAAAGTGTGCGTTTGCAAGCATCTGTTTATGAAGTTCCTAATTGAAACTTTGGAGTTTATGGTTGAGCAAAATGGAGCTGGAGGCCAAATTTGGGTATTCTGAGGCATTGTTTATCACAAAAGTAATAGGGGAGACATCTATATTTAAACAGACTTTGAATGGAAGTCATGCTGGTTTTTTAATCACTAACTATGACCATATTTGACTGCAGAGGTAGGCTTTGTGTGGTGCTATCAAGAAACAGCACAGCCTACTTGATGAGAAAATGTGGCAGCCTGCAAATGAAGTTTCATTGACTCACGAAGTCCTAAGAATCTAAAGATCCTAATTCATAAATCCCATAGCAGTTACGGTAGTTTCCATAGAAACTTTTGTCTGTGGTTAAAATTATATAAGCATTGTCAGCTAAAGGCTTAGTAGTTGCTGGGAACCATACATTATTATCATTTGAGGGGGCGAGGGGGCAGTGCTGTGTTGTGTTTCTTGTCTGTCAGTAGAAACCAAAGCAGAACAAAGTTATGTTTCTTTCTGATTATTGTAACCACCTGCCTGTTTCCTTCCTGTTCTTCTTACTTGCACACATGACCTTTCAAGTTCCCAAAATATTAAGCCAGAGCTCCACAATTTCAAGATTTGTTGTGTTTGAGCAGTTGGTGGTATTAACTGGGGTCTTAGATCAGGCAGATACCTGCTTTTGAACACTGGATTTGAGATGCTACTTCTACTAGGTGCCCTTTAATGTATCAGGTTTTGGAGCACTTTCAACTTTTCTATGAAAAAGAACACTAGCCAAAAGCAGAAGTCTAGAGGAACATATTAAATTAGGGGAACTGTACACCGATATCTTCCTGAACGTGCTGTCAGACTCCAGGAGTTTGCAATCCAATCACTTCCTGTGCCAGAAGTAATTTCTGAGTATTAATAGCTATCTGTGGATTGCTCTTTCATGAGTCTGCCTCTGTGTGCATCTGTAGGAAGGGCAAGCTCCATTGATTCTTCTGAGAACAGTAGAACTAATCTTTAATTTTCAATCCTCATTGTTGCTGTGTGTCAAAGGTTGATTCTAGATATTATTATTAACACTTTTTACTTTAAAAAAAACCCCACAACAAAACAAAAGCAGATATCCTTATCTTCACCCTCTATGAATTTAAGGATTGCATCAGCAGCTCTTTCTTCACAACAGTAATGAACTTGACACTTCTCCTGGGAGAGAAATGTGGCTTTGATTTGCATGAGTAGTCAGTGGTCTTCATATAAGGCCATGACAGGCACAGTGGGCCTAATGGTTAATGCTGTCATCTAGATGTTTGATAACAAGATTTAACAAGGAAATCTTAGTTAGAGGCTTACTGCTGAAGTCTCGTGAAGACCTTCCACCAAAATGCTAAGTGCCTCAATCACAGAAAGAGAAAACGGCTGACATGCTGCAAGTCCAGTGCTCGCTCTTTGCCAATGAGTAATATTACACGGTGCTGGCCTTCCCACTGAGATGAGCATGGGGTGGTGCAAATACTTTAGCCTATCTGCAGACTCTTCAGGAGGCACAGTGCTTCCTGGCAGTGGCAGCACCTCAGGAAAAGTTAAGACGACTCTGAGAGGCTTCAGTGTTACAAATCGCTGCAAAGCTAGTGTGGGTGCTCACCCCTGCTCGGTCTCTTGGTCCTAAACCATGCAGGATGGAAGTAGTGTGGTGGTGTGAAAGTAGACATTAATGACTTGGTTACTGCTGCTTGCTTCTCACGTGCATCTTGTGCAGGCTGCTTATTTCCCCTTTCTGCATGAAGAAATTCCCATTTCTTTGGGCCAATTCAGCCACAGTTTCTTACAATCCTCTCTGGTTCTTAACTGCTTCTGGCTTTAAAAACTTTGTCTTGTGTAATGTTGCCAACTGCTGAGCTTGCGTCTGCAGGGCGTCAGGCAGGAGAATGGACAACGAACATGCTGCATGTGTAATTTTTTTGTGTCTATCTGATCAAGCTGATAATAAATCTATCTGAGAGCTGGACTGTTGCCATTCCAGCAGGTGTATATGTGTTCAAGACTTAACTACGTAGAACTGCAAAGATCACAGGCTACGGAAGGGAGGTTTGAGAGAATAACAAGCTTTTTATTTTCAGATTTAACCACTAGTTTCTGGAGGGGAAAAAATGAAGGTCAACTGTATAAATTTCCAGTGTCTCCCTCACCATATGGTTTAGTTTAGGAGTTATTTTATGTTCATGGGATTGTGATTCCTGACTAGGCCATTGTCTGCGGAACTTCTTATGCTTCTTAAACCTGAGGTCAAGTATTGTCAGAGATCAAGGAGAATGGAGAAAGGTCAGAGCCTGCATCTCCTACAACCTGACAAGCTCCAGTGTAGATACCAGCCCTGGAGGAAGAGTGGGGGAAGTTGCAAACTTTAAAACAAATCCTGCTGGAGGCTTCCAAAGACAATTTTTTTTTCAAATTGCCCCACTCAAGCTACAGCAGCAATTCACAGAAGGAAGCATAATGTAATATAGCATCTGGTCTTCAGCCCTTTTCAGAGCAAGGGCTCTCTGCTCTCTCTTGTGCAGAGAAGAGTGTGTTGTCAGACTTTAAATTATAATGTGACCTTGAATGGTTTAAACTGCCTTGAGTTTTGAGTAAACAAAGATACTTCTGAGAATGTGACTATCAAACGGTGCTTCTTACTTGGAAAAATATGTGTTGATCTCCAAGGTGCTCGTTGCTTTTAGTGTGAGGACTAGTAGCTCTGGAGAAAAGAGATAATGGTCCTTGTAGTTAAGCTGCTGCTTGGGTCTCTGGAAACAGTTTAATTTGCAGCCCTGTATAGTATTATATAAATTATATATTTATGTATATAATGTATATATAGTCAGTAAAATGGGACAAAGCTTCCTTGCTTTGCAGGCTTGAAGTGTTGGATTTCTTGACGGATATATAAATTACAACTTCTTTGTAAAATTCAGACCTGATTCATTCTAACCTGAAAGTGATTCTTTTTATTATCAATAGTGAAAGCTTTATCAGCAGCCTTATTGTTAGGATAGGGTTAGTATTATTTGGTGTCTGCAGGTCTTTCTCAGAGGTAATGAACTTCGTGTATTCTTGACTATACTTTGCATTCAAGGATAATCAACTCTCAAGGATTCTTGGTCACTGGGTGTGAAATGTTTAGTGTACATGCTGTGATTAATGCTGTTTGGACATAACTCAGTTCAATGTCATTAACTTTATTGGTATGAGAAGATACGGGCAGGTGTGGACAGTTAAGACATCTGATATTTTATTTTGGCATAACTACACATTTCAGCATAGTGACTTCAGAGTCTTTCCCAGGTAGATTGAACAGAATCGGGCATCATGCTAATCTAACCCATTTATTCATATTTCTAGTCCTGACATAGGGCCACATTGCCCAATACTAGTAGACTGGCCATCCTGTGTAGTGTCCATCCCCTACATCCCACCATATACATTCCTCCCCAGTATAGGCAAGGGATCTGTATTGTTTACATGTGCAAGTATATTTGCTGCTCTGGGACTTCTGCTGGCAGAATATCCCAACTGAAAACACTTTATTTTCCTTATGAATATGTCCTAAGGCAGTCTTAATAACTATCTGGCTAGGCTTTCTCTAGGTAGTTCTTGCCCTCCAATCTCTTCCACATTTACCTGCATGACCTACCAATGTGCATGTGCAACTTCCTTTTATTCTATAGATGCTCTTTTCTTAGAACGAATATGCTGGCTTTTGGCTTTTCTGACCTCTCAGCTCTTTGGTCTCTAAGGCACAGGATATCCTCTATTAAAAGGGAAACAACAGTCGGAAGTAGTTGTAGTTTGCAACTTTCCTAGCCAGCGCTGGAAATGCCAGTCATGTGAATTTAACATAATGGGGTTTGTGGGATCTCACGTTATTGTCTTTTTGCAGGGTATCGTCCAAGCCTACAAGAGTGGCATAACCCTCCAGGGAAACACCACTAGCCTGGGCAGGTGGGACTTCAGTGGGTCTTTCTTCTTCTCCATCTCTGCAATAACAACCATTGGTAAGAGTTCCCTGCTTGCAGGGCTGCCTCGTAGGTGGGAGAGGAGTGGGAAGGAGGACCTGTACTATCAGATGCTGCTCCAGCCCTATGGGGTTTCAGGTAGCTTGTCTATATTGTGCCATAGGTAAGTACCCATGAACCTAGCCCTAGAAATGCTCTGTCAGTGCTAATGCAGTAATGATCTCTAATTAGATACAGGGTTAATTAGCTCGGTACATATCCCTACTAAGTCACACAGCTTTTGGGACCTGAACTTTACGCTGTTGTACTGCCTGTACTTTCCCAAGCCTACTGCTGGTGAATTGCACATTGAAATCAACTTTTCCTGTCCCAAGGAGAGGGAATAATTTTGAAACACTCTTAATACTGGCTGTTGAATCTCTGGAGACTATATTTATGAATTATTCCTTCTTATTACTACCTGGATGGGATGAGGACCTGCTTGTTTAGGTGAAAGTCAAATAGCTGGATAAATGAAACAATTCAGTTGAGTCAGTAATTCAGAGCAAATCAGTAATGCAAAGCTGTTGTAGTTTAACTCCAGCCAGCAAATAAGCACCATGCAGCTGCTTGCTCACCCCACTCCAATGGGATGGGGGAGAGAACCAGAAGAGTAAAAGTGAGAAAACTCATGGGTTGAGATAAAGACAGTTTAATAGATAAAGCAAAAGCTGCGCACACAAGCAAAGCAAAACAAGGAATTCATTCATGTCTTCCCATGGGCAGGCAGGTGTTCAGCCATCCCCAGGAAAGCAGGGCCCCATCATGTGTAATGCTTACTTGGGAAAACAAAATGCTGTAACTCCAAATGTGTCCCATCCCCCCCACCCCTCTTCCCCCAGCTTTATATGCTAAGCATGATGTCATATGGTCTGGAATATCCCTTGGGTCAGTTGGGGTCAGCTGTCCCAGCTCCCAACTTCTTGTGCACCCCCAGCCTATTTGCTGGTGGGGTGAGGAGCAGAAAAAGCCTTGGCTCTGTGTAAGCACTGCTGAGCAGTAACAAAAACACCCCTGTGATATCAACGCTGTTTTCAGCACAAATCCAAAACATAGCCCCATACTAGCTACTATAAAGAAAATTAACTCTATCCCAGCCAAAGCCAGCACAAAAGCTGCAAAGGAATGATGGAAACAAGTGGGAAGATGGGGAGAGAATGGAAACAATAAAATCTATTTAGGTACAGTGTTACTTAAGGCAGATGCTATTAATTATTGTCAGTGCATGTCCCCAGTCCCCCACACCATTAATAACTTGTCCTGATGTCTTTTTCTTACTGTGTGACCCAGTATTATAAAAACGATGGGGGGAGAGTATGTGGAGAGATGGTGGTTGAATATCGAAAAACCCTCATGGGTTTCCTGATTTGTGTTGAATGTGTCAGCTCGCTTCAATTTCAAGTACATTTTTAGATTGGGAATTTGCTTTGTGCACTCAGCTGGAGCATTCATTTAATTTTTCTGATTGTATTGAAGATACATTGACTTCAGAACATTAAGCCCCCAAACCAGAGCTCAGAGGGGGAAAGGGGAGCTGGGGGGATGCGTGGGGGAGTGTCACCTGCCTGTGCCTCAGTACATCTGTCTGCCCTGCTCTTTTGTACATGTATTAGTCTGGTCGGGAACTGTGGTTGGAGTGTTGTACTACAAGGTACAGGTTTTACCAGATGATGGCAGTGGAGGCTCATTAGACAGGGCTACACAGGTTGTGGGTTTTGAGCGTAGAGCCTGGGCAGTTCCTTCCAGCCTTCAGTACAAAGCAGCATTGGCTCAGAGCTGCTCCGCTTGCCTCAACAGGTAATTCTGGTCCGTTTCGAAGCTGTCAGAGTGACTCTGACAGTTTGAGTGGCCAAGTTAATGATATTCAGGATCAAATTTGTCACATTAAAATATAAGGGGGTTTTGTGGTGTTGGCAGAGATCTAGACTAAACATTTCTGGCTGTCACAATATAAAGGCCTAAGCTACTTTTTTTTCCTTTTTTCTTTTAAGTAAACTCCTTGCCCTGATGGCTGGGGGTGGAGGGGATAACTTGACAGCAGGGGGCAAATAAAAATAACCAAATATTACAGCTCTCTATCTCTTCATTTTAAAGCTAACTCTGACTCTAGGGACTTGTTCATGATTTTTCAGTTGTGGAGTTGAGAATGCTGTACAAGTCACCTCTATGCAGAGAACTTCAGACAACTGGGCCCTTGATTTTGTTTTTTTCAAGTTAAACTGTTAATTGTGTACAGGTTAGTGTCTTAACACTCTGTTGATAAGTGTGTTGTAGAAGAGGAAAATACAGATGGCCTCACCTTAAGTCGTTACCCATCCTCTTTCTTTATGAAAGTTCTGGAGATAGTGGCTGGTGCAGCCTGATTGACCCAGACATCGCTGCATGACTGAGAAGGATAACTGATGATGTCAAGGGACAGGGTCCTTTCCAAAGAACTCAAGTCCAGAGGAGTGATTCATAGTAGGAAGCTTCATGTACAGGGCATGGCTGTGGGGTAAATGACATGGTTGAGAAGGTGTTTTTGAGAAGGGTTTATTGAGGTTTTTGTGTCCTTATGTGGTAAAGAAGAGCTTATCTCAGGCTGTGAGTATGGAGCTGTTGAAAGCAGGTTCAGCTTCACAGGATTAATGTATAGGGGTTAAAAACTAAGGCATTCTGGCAAATCAGTTCAGAAAGGATAGACTTAAAATCGTAATGGAGAAGAGAGATTCTTGGGCATTTAGGGGTACTCGGGTATTTTGAAGAATCTGGGTGGACTCTATTCCATGTGTTCAGGCTGCTGCAAGTCCTTCTCTGTCTTGTTTGTCTCTTCCATATTCTTTCCCTGCAACTAATACTACTCATGCCTTGCCAGCCTCCTATGCGATGTAATGTCTCTGGCTTTTGCATCAGCTATTTTTTTTCCCTGGTCTTATCAAACAGCACTGCCAAAGCCATTTTCACTTACCTTCATTGCTTTCCTCTGAGATGTTCTTTCCACTCTTGTCAGCTTCTGTTTTCTGCTTTAGGTGTTTTAACCCCCTTCAGAAGGCTTGGTGGGTTTCTCAAGTCATTACCAGAACACTTTCACTGGGATATGGGAAGTGATGTTAGCTTCTTTCCCCACTGAAACAGTCTGAATTCCCATGTCTCCTGTTGCAGCATCTTCTGTACTGTACCCTCCTTGCATTTAAATGAGAGCCTCATCTGTTTCCACTAGTGACTAAAAGCAGTAAGCAAATTTTGCTTATAAAGCAAAGTTCTAACCTGCAGCTTGGACACACTTGGTACCCTAATCCCAAAGGTTTAAAGAACAGATGTGTATGAACCAAAATGTGTTGTTTAAAGAAGTGCCCCAAAGCCTATATGGTTTTTGGCCGATCTCATAATTTGAATGGAACTGCATTTATAACTTTTGATCCTGTGGGATGGGCAGCCCTGCCCTTCTGCTGATTCTTTCTCCCCACTGCTATGCTTCTGTGCTTTCTTCATTGATGTCTTTTACATGTCATGTCATCCCAGATCTTGTATCTTATCTCACTTTCTGTAGATGTTTCCATGGGAACCTTCTCTCTTCAATGCCTTGAAGAATCATGTTCTGAGTTCCTTTTAGAGCTGTAGTACTAAACATGATTAAAGAAAGAGAAGGTATCTTGCTGCCAGTTTTCTCTCTTGGACATCTTTATCCCTTGCTGATTCAGTCTCTCCTTTCTATGTTTATTCTCCTCCTAGTTAGTTTGGACTAACAGGGCAGAGGTCACCAAGTTCAGGGTGGGGCACAAGACAAAAGTTCCTAAAGTCAAAGGACCACAGAGTGGTGTAATTTCAGAAGGAGGTGCTAGGGAAAGGATTTGTGATGAGACTGAGGTTGCCTGTGTTAGCCTAAGAGTAGAAGGAAGTGCATTGTCCTTTCTAGCCTGAATGTCCCCCTGTATCTGGGGTGGGTAGATGCCATTACCTAATGTTGCCTTGCCATTTTCTGGTGACAAAGCAAAGTACTCAATTGTATGAATTTCAAAGGCCCTTTTTTAAACATAAAATAGGGCAAGCAAACCATCTCACAATGAAGGAAGGGGAAGACCTTCCTGCTGTCCTTACCTTCTCTGGTTAACACAGTGTAATAGCTCTGAACAGCAGTCCCCCAAAGGATTGGGAGGGTAGCGAAGAGGCAAGGAGCAGGCTATTGAGTGAGTGGTGGTATTCAATACGTTGTCACAAACATCTAGTGTGTTGCTGTAGATGATTCCCATGGGGGAAAAAAACCCCAGCCAGTTCAGGACTGTGAAGTCCTGGCAGTGTAGGGCTTTGGGCCAGCAAGAGTTTCTGTAAGACTTGGACCCTCTGTGGTGCTGCCTAGCATGTGGTGGAGCTCCTGAGAAATGGCCAGCCCACTGCTGGCTGAAGATCCATTGGGAAATCCAGTTAAAGCAACTTGATGTCGCAAAGTATTTAAAACATGGGATAACAGCCTGGAGCCACTTCCACATTTGAATCCTCTGTGAACCTCAGGTTTGTGTAGGGGGGTTCCCTGCTGAAGAGCCCCACACCTTTGATGCGTTGATCTTTTCCCTGCTCTGTGGCAGCTGGCAGAACTGCTCTACAGGCTGAGTGGAATGTGGCATAGTGGTCTGTGGGAGGTCACTGGTGGATGGGGGGATAGCACTCACAGCAACATCCTCTGAGCTGTCTCCTGAGCACTGGCATATTTGGTCTGCTTTCCTGACTGCATGCCACATCAGCCTGTTGAGACTAAGCCCACTATACAGCTTCCAGTGTATAAACAGTATGAATATAACAAATGGAAGACGACTGCAGTACTCATCCCAAGCATTTTCCTGGCCTTTTGCATACTGAAGGAGTGTAAAACCAAATTTTGTTGTTGCCTGGAACTTCATAGGGCTAAACCTGTTAAAACAACTATGTTAAAACGTGGGTTTTGGCCTTCCAGCCTTAGTTGTTGGTTTCTCATCACAGCACCAGCTCAAATGAATAGTGATGGACACCTCCCACATGCCCTGGTTCAACCTGCCAGGGTCCCAATGAGCTTTCCCATATAAGACACAGTTCCTGAGATTCTGCCACCACTAGTTTTTAAAATCAAGTTGTTTAATTTTTTGTTTGTTCTAATCATAAAACTGAGATGCCAAGGCAAGTATTGGGGCTTCTGAGTCCTGTTTCTGTCTCTACCACAACTGTGAGGCCTTGGCAAAGTCATCCTCCATGGATGGATGAATTGGAAATAACTGTGCCTCCCCATATCAGGTGTTCTGAGCTCAGTGGCTGTGTCTAGCTGACAAGTGTCCCTGCACTTAGAGCAGGCTTGGTGGCTATAATATGAAATCTCACAAGAAGCTTGAGAAGCTGAGCACATTCATTTTGTTTTGTGTAGCTAGTGCTGGTGGAGACCTTCAAAAGTATGAGGGAGGATAGAAATCCCAGACTTGCTGATGTTCAGTTGAATGTAGGTGGTACCAAATGACCTTTGAAAATCCTAATGCTTGTAAGGATCATAGGATAATTCAGGTTTCCTGGTACCTCAGAAGCTCTCTAGTGCAACCTTCTGCTTAAAGCAGTCAGCTATGAGGTTAGACCAGGTTACTGAGGGCTTTATCAGGGATGACTTCCAGCTAAGCTGGGCCTGTCATCACATTTTCAGGAACCACGCAAACATATCTTAAGGCTGTGTGAGTAACTGATAGGTTTGTTTGGGTTTTTTTTTCACTTTGCCTGCTGAATTATAGGGCAACATCTTGTTGACCTAAACTGAATTAGAATACTTCTATTTTTTCCATGCAACATTTTAATTCATCATGAACAAAACCTTTCATTTAGCCCAAATTAAAACACTCAGGTTACTTAAAAGGAGTACAAGAGAAATAAAAGTTTAGATCTTCTGAAAAGATGGTTTGAGCATTCCCTGAATGTGTAGGAAAACAGTGTGCAATTTCCTCCTGTACCTGGGAGGACAGGAGTGTGTCTCACTGGAGATCACCCCAACTGCCAAGTGGAGCATCATTCTCTGAGTATTTAAATGTGTGTTGCAAAATAAAGTAATTCTAGCACTGCCTTGTGGCCTTGTGGGTCAGACACTCACATGTTAGAATGGACACCTGGCTCCCAGGCTTTGCTGAGTGTCTGCATGTTCAAAACAAAATATTGTCAACATGAACATTCTGTAAATTTAGGATTAGGTCACTCTTGGGTGGATACCAGCCATCACTTCCCACAAATCTCCCAAAAAAGTGTTTGAAAGCTCAAACCACTGATAAAGTTACTGGTTAGAGAAGTAACTCTTCCTCCAGCTTTTTTTTAAATCTAATTCTGTTTTTCTGCAGCTGAAATTATTTGGTGAATTTGCAGATTTTTTTCAGGCTATAAAAGACACCTTTTCTCATTCTAAGCACTTTTTGCTTAAAATACTGTTGATTTTTTTTTTTAATGTTTGGACAGAGAGCCAAACTAACCTCCCATTTTGGGTAGCAGGGAATCACAGTTGCCTTGTCTGAACCAGGGGCACCGCAAGTAGGATACTGTCTTGTGACTGAAGAGATCTTTTATTAATAATCTGTTAACTACACATCAGTCTCCTCCTCTCAGCAAGCTTGCAGAGCATCTGAATCCCTTATGTACAGGAATGTAATGGGCAAACATGAAACTGAGTTTACTTAATATGTGTAGCAGAAGCACATGAGTTAAAGCATGTGGATATGAACATTTAGAAATAAAACCTACTCTTATTTTGCTGCTTCTAAGGAAAATAATGTTACTTTGCACTTGATTTCAAAATGAGGGAACCCATACAAGCATTTAATCCAACTGCTTCAGAGAAAATGCTTACACCTTGGTCTCTGTGGTTTTGGGGGAGCATCCCTCAGTGTTTCTTAGCGCAGGCATGTCCCAGATGATGTCCCAGTAGCAGGCTCCTGAGGGATGTGACACAGCTGCCAGTGGTTTGTTTTAGTCTTTGAACTTGCTTCAGATCTTCTACTGTATAGCCCACAATGGTATAAGATACCCACTACCCTCATTCCATTTATTGAAGAGGGTAAGTCCCACTTACCCTTTCCTGCTTGAGTTTTATAACAATTGATGTTTATATATAACTAGGTTGGCATCTATTTGTTTAGTCTAATGGCAAGGATGTGTCATCAGCCAGATATAAATTGCTGGCCATTTTGCATAAAGTCTCCTGTGCTGTTTAATCAAATTTTGTACTCTGTATAAAAAGCTAATGGGACATGGTGTTTTGGCATTTACAGCAACTGCCCACTAAGCCTTCAGGAAATTGTCTTGAGCTGCTGAGCCCAAGGGGAAAGGGAGCCAGATAAATCCTGTGCAAAACAGATCTGGTGTTTGGTGGGCTGGGCTTACTGCACACATTGGATCTCCATACTTCATCGAATTTGCTGCTCTAAATTAAATGCAATGTAGAGCTTAACCTTAGATGCTCTCCAGTCAGCACCATGTGAGGTTCCCAAAATCCTCAAGGTTGTTGTACATCACACCTGAGATCATGAACCTTTCTTTCTGTCTTACCTGATATTTTTTTCCAGAGACTGGATAACCTGGAAAGCTATGGTAAGAAGAACTGCCCAAGCCATTACACAGTCTTTTAAAACTTGATATAGAAAGGGAAGAAGAAAAAAAAGCAACCTCCCAGCAAAAAAAAAACCCCAAAAACCTTGGGAAGGGCTGGCCATAAATGTATATGACTCATGTTCAGGCTCCAGCCTTACAGTAAATGCCATCTAGCTCTTTCTCCTGGGTCCAGACCAGCCCACAAAACACCCTAATTCTGTAAGAGAAAAACTGGAGCTAATCCACTGAAGTGTGGCACAGCCCGTGTGAAACAGATCAGACCAGGCACACACCCCTTAAATTCACCTAGGTGGGATCATCCACCAGATGCCCTTGCCTGCCTGTCTCATTTATCCCACCTCTTAGTCTAGAAGTGGTGAAAGCTGGCAGAAGTCACCAATTACATGTGGTGGTGGTGGAAACTGCATAAACATCACGGAGCTTCTTACAAGTGAAGAACATAGCACTGGAATTAAGGTGGCTGTACAGTCTTAATTTAGCCCCTTTGTTTGACTGTGTTTCAGAACAACCTCTAGTTATGTAACAAACAGCATCCCATTCTTTCCAGGGGATGCTCTGCCCTCTCCCAGGGACAGGTTGCTGGGGCCATCGCTTTGGAGGTATATTATGTGTTACAACATACGTTAAATCCAGGGGCTCGCAAATCATTCAAGCTTAAAATTATTGGAGGGAAGTAAAATTTTGAATTTGTGGGGGTAGGAATGAGTGGAAAAGACAGCCTATATACATAGTTTGCTGCCAGACCTTTTTCTGGGGATAGTTTGCTGGTGCATGTGCACAATTAACTATTTGCAGACTTGTCCATGGTGAGAGATTTTATTAGCACAAAACCTGGTACAGGACATGTAGATGTCCCAAGCTAAGAGTCACACGCCTTTCTATGTTGTTGGTCAGTGGCTGGTGTGGGACAGAGGTCGGTGAAGGAATGGGACTCCATCTAGTCAACTGTGGATGTTTGTGCTATCGCTTATCTCACGTAGAGAGCCCAGCCCTTGGACCTCTCAGTCCTGGGGGCTGCTACTGGGGCTACGCCACCTACAAGCATGGTAGCAATGCACCGGTGGTGGCAGCAACTCTGGGCTTGCGCTGCCCCAACAGTTGGGTGTCACTGGAAGGGGATAGCATTATTTGTGGTGCAAAGATAAGCTTTTCCAGGTTATGTCAATCTTGTATATGGACATACAGAAATCTCTGTGTAGTCAAGGCCTCTGACTGGCTAAGTCACTGTTGGAACGTTTGTCATGTGCTAGTCCTTGCCCTGTCTTAAAAAGTACTGTGAAATAAACCAAACTTAAATCTGACTTTCCCGTGGCATAAAACACTTGAAATTACAGAAGTGCAAACCTGCAAATTCACAGGAATTTTTTAAAAGAAAATGTGGGGAATAAAGACAAATACTGCAGCAGTGACGTTGAAGCCATGATGGTCTAAGGATACAAGCAAGGCTGTGCTTGCAGGGCAGGACCAGTTCATATGATTAGAAGAAACAGGCAAAATTTCAAGCACTTTTTTTTTCTTTTGGTCTGAAATTGAAGTATTTTATTCAGGTTAAATATAATTTATCTGGGTTTATTGACTGTAGGTAAACATTTTGAGAATTTAAACTTAAGGTATATTTGGTATTTGTGGTGCAAAAGAGGACCATAAGCAAGGAGTCGGTGTTAAGTTCATTAGTCCTGTATGGACAAAGCTGGAAAAAGGTGGTTGTTTTAATTATAACACTGTTGTGATTCAGAGACCATCTGACAGCCATCTAGGATCATTTACCAGCAAACCCAATGCCAACAATGCTTACAAAAACTGAACTGAACAGAAGTTTTGCGTTTACATAAGATCCCAGCCGGGACAGTGGGTAGGCGAGAGGAAATTATCTGGTAAATGGAAAAGGAACTAAACAAAATTGGCAGGGAAAGAAATGTTGTTTTCCGGGCTACAATAGGATATGACAAACAATGGATGTAACTTAGAGTTATTTATAAAAAGGGTCCTTTTGGAGTAGCGACCTTCTTGTCTAACTTTTGTAGAAGATGGAGGTTCAACCCTCCAGGGGAGGAGGGCAAGCAGAAGATATTTTAGATTTAACACCTCATTCCTTCCCTGCCTAGGCTATGGGAACCTGAGCCCCAGCACTGTGGCTGGTCGAATCTTCTGCATCTTATTTGCACTCTTTGGGATCCCCTTGAACCTTGTACTCCTGAATGAAATTGGGCAGCTGATGCTGTTGGGGGTTCAGCGTTGTGCCCACCACCTGGAGGAGATGTTTCACTGGCAGGTAAGCAATGTGGACGGGTATGCCTCACCCTCAAGTTCAGGGAAGAAAAGATAGAAAGGGCGTTATCTGGTATTTGGGATCCTGATTAATAAGAACAGCTTGCCTGCCTATTTGGCCAAAAAACCAATAATACTCAGGAATAACTGAAAGCAAATAAATTTAGTTCATGACAGCTCTATGAAGTGTCAGATAAGGTTGTTTATTAATCAAGGTAACTTCCATGATGAATGGCTTCCCCTACAGCAACAGAAGTGCCGGAGCCTTAGAGCCATGCACAGTCAGCTGTTTATCATCAGTCATAGTTAGAATTGCACACCTAAGTTACATGGAAACATTTGTGGAATAGGCTTTAAACTGACATGAATTTAGGACTCATGAAGGTGATGCCCAGTTTGTGTTGACTAGGAGAGCCACACCGTTTATTCTAGTGGAATGTCATGTGTGTTTTTGTGGAGTCCAGCATCATCTTCAACTGGAAACTGAGCTGGACTTTCCCTGCCACCCTTCTTGTGACAGTCTCTTCTTTTTTTTTTCTGTTTTACTAGAAAAAAGCTTCCCTCCTGATTAAGACCTGTGCACTGGTAACTGGATTGTTATTGTTCCTCCTGCTACCTCCCTTTTTGTTCTCTGACAAAGAAGGCTGGTCTTATGAAGAAGGCTTCTACTATTCCTTCATTACCCTCAGCACTATTGGGTTTGGAGATTATGTGATTGGTGAGTAGTTCACATTTCATTGCGTTCACCTGCTAAACATTAAAGCCAAATGTGTGGTCTATGAAGCTCCCAATTCAGCAGTTTTATACCACTAACAATCCACAGACCTGATGAGAAATATGTTGTGGTAGGCATTTGACAGGTTGGAGAAGACATGATTTCTGAGATAGCAGTGCCACCTGTGGAAGAGCAAAGAAATTCTTTCCCAGTCAATGAGTAATCCAGCATTCAGGAGATCTGCCCCTTGAATGACTACACCACCAGACTGGAGTGCTGCATTTTTAATCACAGCAGTCGCTGATGGTGCACTTGGTGTGCTCCAGTGCATCAGCAGTGATTAGTTTTTAAGCAGATAGCTACTCTGCATCACCATTAACCATCACCTCTGTCAAAACCCCAGATAATTGTTTTCTAAAAGGTAGTTTAAGTCACTTAGGTACCAGGCACAGCCTAGTTTTGGTTGCCAAAACCCTTTGCCAGAGGAAATGGGTTTGGACCCATGTCTGATGCATTTGCTGAAACACAGGACACACCTTTTTGATAAAAGTCTTTCTCATTAAAAGCAAATTCATAATAGAAAAAATAGGCACCCTTGAATCCCTGGGAGACAGAAAGACTAAACCATCTTATTACGGATTCTTTATTTTCTTTTCTTCGTAGTGCTTGCTTCATGCTTAGACAACCTAGTGGTGGTTACCTTAGTACTTGTCTATAATGCATCAAAGTTACAACTAGCGCTTGTGTAGGCACACTTAAATGAGCTGGAATCAAGTTAGCTTGGGCAAGGGTAGCCAGATGGAGCTTAGCAAAATTAGCCAGTTCAGCATTTTCCTGATTTTATGAATGATGCTGAACTCTAAAGCAGCAGCTTTACTTCTGTCAGTTCCTGGTAACTGGTTTCGAAGCTCTTCACTATTATACCTCCCATGTCCAGGCATGCCTTCACCAGTGTGGTGCTTTTCTAACTGGCATCTCGCCATAGATATGGTAGGTTCAGTATGGGAATAACTGAGTATGTCAGTGGCCTGTGGTATGTAGAGGCTAAACCATTTTGGCCTTATAATCCCATGTGTTTGTGCTTTATGTCTCAATTTAAAAATAAGCAAGGCCAGGGCATGGGTTCAAGTGACTGTCATTATTTTTTGACTGTCACACTCTTTGCCCACTAGTGAGATCTTTGGCACTGTTCTGGACCAGGTGAATTCTGGGGGATATCACATGCCAGGCGAGATGCCTGATGTTCGCTTTGGACATAGCTGCTCTGTTTTGGGGAAAATATAAGCCAGGCTGTGGCACTTGGATTTGAAGTCATAGAGTGGTCCCTAGCCTGGTTTATTTAGTAATATTGATGTAGCTTCTCTTACTGGCCCTGAAATCTGTTAACTTACACAGTCAGAAAGCCCTTCTGTTGGACATGGGGTGCCATGTAAGTCCTAAACTGCTTCTGATCTTCTCATCCCCAAGACTGCACCTAACAGATGGATAAAGCATTCTCCTTGAAAGCCTCAAATAGCCCTTCTCTCTTGTTTTCATTTATTATTTAGAAGCAAACAATTTTTAAACCTTTGAATTTAGCATTGGTGAAAGGTGCTTGTTTGAAGGATGAACATAATACCATTCCTGGTTGAAGTTCACCTTGATGTAGAAAGCCAGCCCAAAGACCAGTTACCACAGAAGTGGTTGGTAACTCCCAAACTTTTACCAGTGGCTTAGTGACAACCTCAAAATGTCTTGTGGTTCCATTATATTGAAAATGCATACAATGGGTATTATATAGTATAGAATAGTAAATATATGTAGATGATCGGCTGCTTAACTGACTAGTTACTACTCATGACAGTCTTGTAGACAGTAGCAGTTCATGGACCACAACCTGAGAACTGCTTGCCTGTGCAGGTAATGACAGGATGGTATTTCTATATACAACCATTCACAGATGATAAATACCTAAACATCTGCCTTTGTGGATGTCCCATTTCAACCCAGCCCTATGTGTACTTTTCATTGGAATGTGGTATGGAGAGTGGCCTCCAAGTTCATAGAGGTATCTGTCGCTTCATACATATTAACTCCTCGCTCATATGTATTAACTCCTCATACTTTGTCCTGAAAGTATTAGGTGTTCTGTAGTATCTGCTGCACTGTAGGTATTCAGTTATAAAGCAACAAACCTTTCTCAGGTAAGGAAACTAAATAAGACCCGAGAAGCAGTAGAGAAAAAGACTTTGCTGCCACGGATTTGTATCCTGTACCTTACCTGTGTTTGTAAGGCTACTGCATCCTGCTTTACTGATACAGCCCAGTCACTTCATAGGGTTGAGCTCATTCCTTTGCCTTGCCTGTGTTATTATTAATTACTTCTGACACTAACTTAGCACGTGGAAGCCTCTTTGCACCAAGCATTGTGGAAACACAATCAAACATCAGCTTTGCTCCAAAGGAATCACAAAGTACGTAGCTGAGCAACCAGGCAGAGGTAGTATAATTTCAAGCTACCTTCCAAGGCTTGGTTGTTCTTGGAGGTTTTGGAACTGCTCAAGACCCTTCCCTCCGCTCTTCAAGACTCACTTGCTCGCTTATACCTGGCTTAACAAGATACATACATCTGTACATAAAACCCGCTTACCTCTCTGCCTGCAGGGGACCCCTGTTACATAGTAATACAATATTGTGATGTTGAGTGATAAGTAGAGAAATGAAACTGTGCACTTGAATGTGAATAATTTCACTTTGACATAGATGTAATTTGGGATTTATTTTTCTTTCTTATAGATAATCTTTACAATTCCTAGGGAGCTCTAGGCTGTTGCTGACATATTATAAAATGTACTTGCTTACAACATCTATTCACATGCTAAGCACACTCATGTTTTATATAGAAATCACTGATGTTAGGTCATATTTCCACTGTCTTTGCTCTAAATGTAATGTCTCCTTTGAGGCACTCTTGATCCAATCTAGAAATGTTTTGGGCAATTCTCTTGTAGGGATGAACCCAGACCGCACCTATCCAGACTGGTACAAGAATGTTATCTCTCTGTGGATCCTCTTTGGGATGGCTTGGCTAGCACTGGTTATCAAATTTTGCATCAACTTTCTCGAGAGCTCCAGTGACTTCTGTCAGTGCGACAACAGTACAGAGATGACAGAAGATTTAATAGATGGCAACAAAAATGGTGTGACGGGACTTCACGATGTGGAGATCTGCGGTGACAAAGACACAAAAACAAAAGGACCAGATGGATCTCCCACCTACACAGATCCTACAGAAGCACTCTAGGGAAGAAACATACCCTTGGTCTCTCTTAGGTTTTAGTACACCAGACATGCACCACTTAGAAATGTGGGAACGGAGCTGCCCATAGAAATGTGGGAATGGAGCTGCCCTGACATTTGCGTGGGGTGAAAGCTTGCTTATTGAGCTTGAAATGCTTCCATTCTGAATTGAGCAATGACAACAAACTGTTTCATTTGCAGCACCACCAAGAGTTACTAACGGGACTCTTAGCCAAAAGCAGATTTACAGAGATATCGCCTACCCTCCCACCTCAATAAATGAGGTAAACGTTGACATCCATATGCAACTCTAGCTGTTGTCCTTTTCTTTCCATGCAGAGTTCTTGCAGCCTCTTGAACGTATGGCATTTTGCAAATATGACAACTAGAAAAGCAAGATCCATTTAATGCAGGAAACAAATTGCATGTTGCTAAAAGACAATGAAAAGCACTATTTAAAGCCACCTGGAAGTCACTGCAAATGTCCTCCATCACCTATATGCTTGTGCTTGCCAAAGGTGGTAACATGCTTTTGCTCTCTGATTAGTACATGGATGGCAGAGCTTGTGGAGGTGCCTAATAGAAACAGATCATTCAAGTTTTTAAAAGAAATTTCTACATCGGATGTCCACTAATATTAAAAGGAGACTAGGTAGTTAGGCTATTCCTTACTCCAGAATTTATGTAGGATCAGCCTTTGTAAAGTATTATGTAGACCAAATGTCATCAGCTAAATGTGACAGTTTATTTAGATAGATTTTTATTTTGCCACATCTTGAAAGCCAGAAAAGGAGGACTAGGGGCAGTCTTAAATGCCAGTGATTCCAAAATTCTCCCGTGGCCAACGTTAACAAGGTCTACTTTAATTTAGAAACAGACTTGAAGTATTTTCAACCGTGATCAAGAGATGCTATTCTGATTAACTTCTCATGTCATAAATGAATAGCGTATCTGTTCTAGCTAACATCTTTTATATGAGCACAACTATCTGTTGATCTGTGGAATGCCAAACCTGCTTATTTGGCCTTTGTGTCAATCATGGAACAGAACTGTTGCTTTTTTTTTTTTTTTAAATTCCATTAAATTATCAGAAATCTTTTGAGAAGTGATGCCATTTATAAAGGCTCAACAGAGTCTAACTCCTGCTGCCATTTATATACCCATATCTAATCTTCTCATTTTCTTATTCCTGTTGTGCTACTTGCATCCAAGAGCATTAACTTTAAGAACTTGACCATAGCAGTAAAACAGAATGAATCATTTGGGTGAGCCTTCAGCTTCTGCATCGGACCAAGATTCCATGTGGACCGTGGAGAAAAGACTGAAAACACAGCCTGTTGGAGTACGGGACTCAGGAATTGGAAATATCTGTAGCCCAATTCACAGAAATGCAGTGAGTGAAAAGTTTACAGTCTTCAGGAGCACAAGTTCTGGAACACGTGCCATGAAAAAAGCATTTCCAGAGCAGGTCAGTCTGAGTGTTGATATGTGATGGAACTGATTACAGGAGAAAATGCAGAAAAGGAATCTGCTGGATGAAATTTGGTCTGTCAACCTTTTGTCAGCCTTCTTGTCATCAGCCTTTTGCTGACTCCATAGTAATAAATGTTCTCTCAAATACTGTTTTGATGGGCAACAGAGATAAGAAAGGGGAGGTAGTGGAAATCTCAGGTCACAGTTGGGAAACTGATGCAAAATAAATACATTTCAATTTTTTGGACATTGGGTAGTTTATTTAACAGCCTTTATGGTAAACTTTCCTGTTTCTTCTATGTTTTGTCCTCTTTATTTTCACTGATGGATACAGAATGTAGGTTTTCCTAATGTTCATAATGGGCTGGCCTACAAGAAGACCAAAGTGTATTTCTTAAGTGAATCGCAATTCCACAGCATAAAATGTGATACACGTTTGTGTACATTCTTTCATGCGTATCCTTTGCACCTTCTGTCAGGTGCAAAACTTAGTAAATACAACTGTTATTGGAAAATCTAGATGCCCAGAAGGTAGTAGGAGTTTCTACTGTCAAAGCATGGGAATGGCTATGCAAAATCTGTTTCAACTTTAACTTGAAATGTCACAGGCTCTGGGGATTTCTACCAGCTCTGCTCTTCAATGAGAAGGGTTAGCTTGAGAGGAGTTTCTTCTTTTCAATTCGAATGTCTGTTATATTAATCGCATCTAACTCATATTCCCATGTATTCGTAGTTTGAGGATGAGATTTTCAAAAGTGCCTTAGAGGTTTGGGCACCCTGGTCCCACTGAGGCACAGAGTTGTGTGCCTTAGGACAGATAATACACACTTCTGAGAGCTAAAAGGAAGAGGAACTCTAGGAATAATCCTGAAAAAAGGAAAAAAAACAGTAATTCTTCATAGATCTCAGTGCTTCCACTGTATGTCAGGGTTCAGCCACAAACCTAAGCATGTGGCTAGGTCTCAAGGTTACTCAGTATCTGCCCCAGCAATCCTTGCTTATTTGCTTCCTTCCATGGCTGTGCTGTTGTATTACCCAGCTGCTCACCACCAGCGTAGTCCTGCCACTGTCTGATACAGCGTGCTTACCGGAGGCGCATCTGAACTGCTTGCAAGCCACACGTAACTCCAGAGCTGCAAGTCGCCTGCATGTGTCCTGGACCACCCCAACAAAATATGAAATAAGTGAGTCAAATACCATCTCTGCCTGGGTTCTCTGATGCTGAATTAGCACATTGCCACTAATGAATACCCTTTTATTGACAGTTCCTCAGCTAGCTTTTCATATGGACAATAGATAATATTGTCTTCCCACAAACTTCTGTGCCTTTAGTCTGTCTGTTCTTTATAAAGCTGGGCTGTGATTAAATGACATGGATGAATTTGTTCCCAGAGGGATGAGAAGAAAGTGGAGTTTTGCAACATCACAAAAACGTCATCACCAATGTGTCTGCTCTACCAAAATATGAAAGGTTATCTGCTCAAGGGTAAAATAAAGAAAACAAAAGCATGGTGCTGTTACCATTCTTGTCACAGCTGACTTGAAGTCTTCTGTAATCTGCATTGGAAAATTACAGATGCTCCTTGATTTTATTATTTTTTTTTATAGTGTTTCTTCCTGTTCAGATAAGTGTGCTGTTTCCATTAGTGATTTCAGGTTAGACTGTCACTGCTGTTATTCTTCACAAGTCAATTCTTCCTTACTACCCTCTTTTCTTCCTTGGGAGGAGCAGGGGCTGGAAACAGGTTTGGTTAGTAATGGTAATGGTAAATATTTATGTACCATCAGTGTCCAGAGGCTTTTTCATAATTGCATAGAGCATAATATGCTTCTGACCTTTATACAGTTTCCCAGGAAATCAATCTCTTAAAGCAAGAAAATAGGCCTCTCCAGGTCCCGTACTCCAAGGACAAGTCCTGGCTTCAGCCTCAGTGTTTCTCATACTGGCTCTTTCAGCTAGTCTGAAAGAGGTGTTTACGCCCTGGGGAGAGATATGTCCAGAAATATGTAGTAAGATGTCACAGCAACATAGTACAAACTGCTCAGAACTTCACAGTTTTTAATAGTCTGGTTGACTACAGTATTTTAAGATCCCTATACTAGAAAAAAAATGCCCTTTTTCCATAATGGTCTCTGAGTCAAAAAAAAAAAAAACCAAATACAGGATGTTGTTTTTCTCATAGCGGTGAGCTGATGAGATCTTATCTTACAAATGATACCCCAGCTCAGTTTAGAGCTGGGACTGTTTAGGCTAGAGAAGAGAAGGCTCAGGGGGATCTCATCAATGTATATAAGTATCTGAAGGGAAGGTATAAAGAGGACAGAGTGAGGTTCTTTTCAATGGTGCCCCGTGACAGGACAAGAGGCAGTGGGCACAAACTGAAACACAGAAGGCTCCTCCTAAACACCAGGAAACACTTTTTCACTGTGAGGATGACTGAGCACTGGCACAGGTTGCCCAGAGAGGTGGTGGAGTCTCCATTCTTAGAGATATTCAAAAGCTGTCTGGCTCTAGGTCCAGGGTCATCTCTAGGTGACCCTGCTTGAGCAGGTGAGGTCCCTTCCAACTTCAACCATTCTGTGATTCTGCGTTTCAAGGTGAAGCAGTCTTCTTCCTCATAGCCCATGGTCTGCCACTGTCCCCAAACTATCTCCACAAACTTTCAGGTTGTACTTGCAGCAGGCCTGGTAGACATGATTCTTCCTGGAGAAGAAATGGATCTTTCCAGTCTAAGTGAGCTCAATGGGGTGGTCTACTCATGTACTTTTTATAAAAAAAACTACAGAATTTTCCTTTATCTATATAAATATCAACCCACTGGGCAATTTGTAGACACTAATTCTTTTTCAGAGATCTCACAGAGAACAGCTTTATATGAAGGATGGTACAGAGAGATACAATTAGTTGCTGGGGGTGGGGTGTCTCCTGTTGATGTTTAGAGTGCGTTATGCTGTTCAAAAAAAGTGCGGTAGTGTTTAGTTTGGTATATTCTCCCCTCATTGTTATATAGCTGCCTACAAGTGCCAGCAAAAGGATTCAACACTTTGTTGCTGACATGCTTCAGGTAAGGCAAATCATACCTCACTTTGGTTTACCCTTTCTAAATTAGAGGCTCACATTGGTACTAATTGCCTACTTACCAGTTGAATCAGGGCAAAATTTTAATGTAATTAGGTCTTACAATATGAGCTTGGTACTTGCCATCTCTATAAATAAATATTCTGGCTGATGGAAGAGGGGGGCGCAAAAAAAAAAAACAAACTGGTCTTTTTCAGTACTGTTATGCTGTGGCTTAGGGAATCACATGCTTGGTAGTGTCTCCCCTTCCAGTAGTTCTGGCTGTGTGTGAGGTAGCGTCAGGGCAGATCATTTTTGCAATTGCTATTGAGCACCTTTTTGGTTTTAGAAGGTTTCTTTTTTCTTTTACTACTTTTTTTTTTTTTTTAATATGTCATGTAAGTATGTGGAAACTTACAGTTGAAATGGAGTTGAGTCTGAACATCTAGGCAACTATCTCACATGCTGTGCAGTTCTGGGCAAAGATTCAAAGGTTTCTCACAAAGATGAGTGATTACAATGGAACAATATCTGTGCCCTTACAAATTCTCATCTCTCAGGACTTGAACAGCTGGTTTGGGTTTTTGTTTAGACATAAGTTGATATAGATGTATTAAGCTAGCACTAAGCAGATAGAGAGGATCTCTGGTACCTCCAAGGTCAATGCACATTGCAGTAAGAGCTGCTGACAAGCTGTCACTGTTGTTGAAGGAGACATCGGCAATGTGGCATCCAGAAACAATGCATACTGGGGTAGGACAAAATGAACTTCAAGAGAACACTTGAAAACTATTTTAAGATCTTCAGTGCTGAACAAGGTTTCAAAGGATTATTGTATTCTAAAGATGTTAATATACGTGAAGTTACGGTCTCCAAAACTTTTTATTCCTCTTCAAGTTTTGAGCTAAGGTACCTTTATTTTTAAGGAAGTTGTACAAGAAGACATTCCCAGTAAAAAAATTGATAGATCCATACTGCTTGAGTCTAGGTGCTGGAGCTCCCTCTTGGGGCAGAAGCAATGCAGTGCAAGTTAGAGAGGCTTTGAAACGGTTTTAATTTTTATGGTAACATGTAACCTGTTTCTTCCATGTTCCCTGCTACTGACTTAAACTCGCTCGAATGTAAGATTTACTCTTGAGTAATGCAAGTTTCCAAAATCAAGAACGTGCTTACCAAAGCAAGCTATAACAGATGAAAACAAAGTGAGGGAAAATAATAGGAAAGAAAATGTGGAGAAGGAGAGAAGCCTGTGGAGTTTGTTACTTGTTCCTAAGAAACATGCTTATCAACCTTGATTAGGTTCATAAACTTTTTTGGTAATGCCTTTAAAAAACACATGCTAAATAAATTAATCGGTCTGTATTTGGTCAGTGATTGTGGAAAGGTTTCAGACAGCAATGTATCTGAGTGAATAAAAAGGACCAATGCATAAAGTCAGGGTTGTACAAATCTACCACCAGAGGCCAAACTGAAGAAGACCCAGATGTGGAAATGGAACAGGGAGGCACACAGTCAGGATAGGGTCAAAAAGAAAGGATGAGTTGAAGCAAGCGGAAATCCAGTGAGGCAACATTTGCCCAGCTGGCTATGATAAATGAAGAATATCCATTCTTTCAATACAGTAAAGAATTAGGATTAACCTAATTTGGATAACTACTGATAACAGGGCATGACTGTACCATAATTGCTATTACTCTAGAGGTAGTTCTATTACAGGTTGGAGTTGCAAGATAGTGTTTTTAAAGCATTTCAGTTCTCCTCCAGATTCATACTGTGGTTAATCCCTTTTCCCACTACTCTTTTGGATCCCCTCCCATTTAGAACATTATGCTGGTAATGAAGATCCACTGCACCTCAAATAGATAAACATGGTGCCTTGCAAATACAGGTTTAAATTGATAAGCTTTGGGTTAAAGTGTTAAAATGCTAATTCTGTGAGGTATAGCACAAAAGAATATAATCCTAGAAAGCAAATGGGGTGGA